TTAACAAATCATATCGGTTCGGTTCGAAAAAAATACGAACCGATCCCATCTAAGCCACGCATATCGTGACACACATAGCCGGTAAAGTAAAATTTATTTTGTATTTTTATAATTTACTACAAAGAAAATGAATTCGTTAATAGCCAAGTGAACAAATAAAATAAGCAAATTAACTTCTTATATAGTTGAAGAAGTATATAAGATAGTTCAAAGTATTGATAAATTATGTCGAAACTCTCATTTAAGCTGCCACTTAAGTAGTCTAATATAGATTTTAATGCATTTCTTTCGACAAAACTACGAAAAGTCATAATTAATGTAGTTTTCAAAAATATTGTGAAGAAATATTCTCCCTTAAATAAGTTTCTGACATATTCTTTATTTACACATTTGTTATTCAGAAACTGACCTAAATCGTAATGTGAAATATTTCATACAAAAAGGTGAATATCTTAATTAATGGAATATTCAGAAGATACAGAACACATTCAATGCAATTATAATAATATTCAGGAACTTCTAAGGGTTGAATTGAAAAAATCACCTGAACGCTATTCAAAACCAATTTATATCTTACCTGATATTGATGATAATGTCGAATGTCAATTGGAACAAGAGCTACTAAACGAAAGCAAATGTAATACTGAAAATCGCATTATTCTAATTCCATATCGTTTGGAAAACTCTCACTGGATTGGTATTTTAATTGAACTTCAAGCGGCCAAACAAATTATACGAGCTGAATATATTGATCCAGTCAATAGGTCTAGTTTCGTTCCGGATAGATTACAAAAGCAATTAGCTAAAGTTTACCCATCTGCTGTTCTGCAGACAAAGGATCTGTTAAAGCACAATGATCGAACACATAGTGCAAAATTAACCATTAAAAACTTATTAGCTGCAGTCGAAAACGATCAACGTCCAGAGATGCGTCAACCATACGTGAATATTCCAGACGGAAATGAAACAAGTACATATTCAGCTGAATCAAAATCACTGCATTGGCAGCAGAGCGAAAATACGATTTCAAAGGACGGTAATGACTATAGACTTGCTGGTCTAGAACAACAATTAAAGAACGGACTCGAAAAACTAAACATTCCAGACGTAAGTTTAATACCACAAAAAATACAGAAAATAGAAGTACGAATCAAAAAATATGATGATGAGAGAAGAATAGATGATATTGAGAAAGAAGAGAAACACTTACGGGAACTTCAGGAGTTACAAAAAATTTCGGAATTAATTTATTCTGAATCTATCTCACGTATTCCCAATAAGGATAACGAGTCAAATGTGAATAGAACTGACAAACAAGGCCTTGCAAGTTCAAGTAACATAATTGCACTTGAGAAAAATAAAAGACTGTTACATCTGAACGAACTGCGTGAGGATTTCGCTGCTATGCCACCTTGTGCTGAAAAATCCATATTGGAACTTTTAGAACATTTTGAACAGAAATTATTAGAAAATGATCCGTACTCACAAGAACAAAACTCAGTAATTGAAATGTTAAGTAAATTGAATGATCAGATTAAAAAGCAAGATTTACTTTCAAAAGAGATTCAAGCTAGTCTTCAAAATTTAAACATAGCCGTAAATAGTGGTAATATGTCAAGTTCAGTGGATATTCTGCACGACCTTAAAAAGAAAATCAGACCACTGAATGTACAAGATATACAAAGACTCGTTTCTAAAGCGAAAAAAGCTGCTGAATTAATCCGTGATAAAGATATTATTTTGTTAGTAGGTGAAACTGGCAGTGGAAAATCTACTACGATTCAATTTCTTGCAGGTTCTGAGATGAAGGATGTGCAGGTGGAAATTGAACCCGGGAAATTTTTAGATCATATTACACCAATTGGACTTGTCAAGAATCCAGGATTGAATAATGTGACTAGTAGTCCATTTCACAAATCAGAAACGCGCTATATTACACCAGTTACGATACAATTGAAGGATATTCTTGATAGTCATGAAACCGATGTTATTACTTTATGTGATGCACCTGGTTTTAGTGATACAGCAGGTGTAGAGGTAGATATTGCTAATAGTGTAGGAGTTATCGAAGCATTAAAAAGAACTAAGAGTGTCAAGATACTTGCTTTGTCAAGCTATCAAAGTTTAGGTGATAGAGGTGAAGGAATTCAGAGATTGGCACATATATTAATAAATATGATGCATAAAATAGACGACAGACTTGACGCTATTATTTACGCATTTACAAAATATCCTGAGAAAAAAAATATTAATGCTGTATTAACGGATATTAAAAATCAGAAAGTAAATAAAGATCGGTTTTTGCGATCTGATACTGCGTTTGTGACCGTATTGTCAGATATGATCGATAAAACAGAAGGAAATGGTTACAAAATCGATCCTATTCATGGTGATCGGAAAATATTAATTAAAAAATTAAAACGTACAAAAGGTATTCAGTATCCGAAAGAAGTTTTTCAATTTTCTATGAGTAGAGAAACACGAACTAGTATTGGTAATCATGTTGAAAAAGATAAGTCTAGTATAATTTGTGCAATGAAACACAAAAACAACGAACTTATGATTTATTACCTAAATGATTTGAAAACCTTACACGATTTAACAAAGCAAAGTTTTGTTCGAGAAGCTTATGAAAGTTCAATACGTTGGATAAGTGATAACATTAATGAATATTGTACGAGAATAAAGAGAAAATTTAATCGTGTTTTAACTAGTCAAGATCGATTAGGAGAAGATGATATTCGTGAGTATAAAGCTGCTGTTGAATATCTTCAACATATTCAAATCTTAAAAGAACATTTAGGATCATTTCTATTATCACCTGAAACATTGATGCAAAACATCATTTCCAAATTGTGTGAAAGAAGTTGCGCTCTGAATAAAGAAGATCTGTATAATCCTTTAGTTGGAGTATATTTGAATAATCTTCGCATGCTTAGAAACTCGTTTAAAGAACTGGAAATATACTATCGTAATAGTTGTAAAGAGTTCGATAAGCGTTTTTATTTATTAGTGCAATCTGCGCGCGAACTCATTCTAACGAATAATTTCAAACAAATCGCTGAAATTATTCTTAGTATATATAAATCTTCGCATGTTCTGAAAGATCATTTAGATGAGAAAGTTGAAGAGACATATTACAACATCGTTAAATCGTGCTTACAACACCTAAGTAGTTTCTCAGAAAGATCAGATGCACTTTTACAAAAGACTCGATTAACCAATGATGATATTGAAATTCTTAAAAGTTATATGGAAATACTGAGATCAGCTAAAGAATGTTCTCCACTTCAAGATCGTATTTTCACATATATTGATATGTTGAAAAGAAAAGTTACTGTCGCAAATCAGTACAGTCAAAATTGGGACTCTGAAGAAATCTTTACAGATCTGAATCAAATTTATAACAATTTTATTATGAAAATTATGAACTATTTCGATGAGATAAACGTCAGAACTGAAGAACTTTTTAAAGGAGCTAGAGATCATACTTTAGAAGATATACAGAAGTTAGTCGATGATATGGATGCTATACGTCAAATTCCAGAACTAGAATCAAAGACTGCTGGAACATATTATCGTACCGTTGAAGCATTGCGTGGTTATATGCAGAAATTGCAAATAGAAGCAGAGCAATTACTATTTACTATAGATCATCAGGCTGGAACTATTAGTTATAGACATCTCGCACAATCATTGTTACGTTTGAAAAACGCAGAATGGACCAATCATCTTAGTCCAGGAACGTATGATACTTTAATGCGTCACATCAAAGAAAAGTTAGTGCAACATGCTTGCCAATTGGAAGATCGCTTGATGAATATAGATTATAGTTTGAAATGTCCAGATAATATTTCTATTGTGCAAGAAATTGTTAAAAAAATTGAATCTATGCGTAATTTAGAGCGTAGTGTTCCAGAACTTGAAAAGTACAGACAAAGTGTACACCTCGATCTGTCTCCGAAG